ACTGGGAAACCTCAAATCAAGCTTGCAGTACTAAGGAAAATATCATAATAAATCAATCAGTAAATTTTACCCAGTAGTTTGATTTAATGGTTTAATTCACCATCATTCCCATTTCTGTCCCTTTTGAAATCAAGGTTACATTAACTTCCAATGTATAGCTTCTGCTTGATAAAGGAATATTTACAAGCAGAGGCAATTCCATATATCTTAAGCAAACTTTACAACTGAACTTTACCCTGGAAACTTGAGCTTAACTTACTCATATGTACAAGACAACCTGGGAGGACAACAGTGGCTTACTTTTTACCTGCTGTTGTTAACTCGTACCTCCGTACGTATTGATGTTTTTACCAGCTGTATGCCACCAAAAACTGCTTGAAATCATGCACAGAGAAGAAGTGAAGGTAAACTGAATTTTGTCTGCCAAAGTAGACTTTTTAAACAGTGAAAAAGGACCAAGATATCGATGCAAGCTTCAACATTTCACACCTTTCAAAAAGGATGCCAAAAATGGCACGAGAACCAAGAGAACCTGGTATCTAATGTGGAAAACCGCTGATCCGTGCTTGTTGAAGGTCGGGCACTCAGAATGCCAGTGTAGGTCGTTTCTCTCACTTCCTTACAAGTTGTTTCAAAACACATTTAAAGTCAATTTCGTTTCAAATGTAACCTTGAGGAAAAAATCTGATTAAAGTGTTTTCGTCTTCGTAATATGTTTTGTGACTTCTTGGTCAAACGTAGTGCTATGTTGATGTGATGGCAGGGAGTCGACTGAGGAAGCTATTGGGCCATTATTAAGGAGTTTCACTGCCCTACAGATTCCGGAGTTAAACTCATCCCACAGAGAAAAGATACTTGTCTGAAGGTCTTGGGACTTTCTCCACTGAATACACCAAAACTTCCCCGAAACAAACTTGATTCCTCTTACTAACCAAACTTTGTGCAGCTTTAAGTGTCTCTAGTCAGTTTAACTTTGTGGAACTTTACGTATCCCGTAGTGTCCAATTTGTGCTTTCGCGCCGTGCAGCACTTAACCACTTCAGACAAGACGGGTCACACAAAGAGAAATCGCTTTGTAGTGATTATCCCAAAAATGTCGGTCAAAACCAAATGAGGGGAATTTGAAGTTACAACAATGTGTAAATTTCTTGACTCAAGCAAAACACATGCACTGCGCCGACAACATGAACCACCAAAAAAGTACAATTATTGTTCTGGTCAACGAATGAATACATGGTCGTGCTCCTGCCATATGCCCATATTCGATAAGAATTTTCCATGTCTTGCGGCTTGAATACTCAAGGATTCTATCGCGTCACAATCACATATTTGAGTCTAGAACACGCTAGAATATTTTGGCTTTCACGCAGTGATTTTATAAAATAAAAATATTAAGAATAAACAAAAAATTAAAGTTAAAAATAAAACATTCAAAATAAAAAATAAAGAAAAAAAGATAAAGAAAAGGAAAAAAATTAAAATTAAATACAAGTTTATATTAAGTGAAAACAAATTTAATCAAAGTGCTCTGTGAGCAAACTCGTCAATTGAACAAAAGAGTTAAACTATTTTTTGGATTATGTTTAGTATTATCTGGTTTAGAGAATATTGTGGTTGATTTTCATATTTAGAGTACGAGCAGTAGTTCAGTGTTCACTAATAATGTACCAAAGAAACAAAGTAAGATTTCGATAAGAAGGCATTGCAACTGGAACGATCATGATATTACATTTGACAAGGGTGGACGAGGTCATGTGTTTTAAACATTTACCATTTTTGTTTCTGGTTCACCAAGAAATAGCTGGCAGTAAA